CAGAATGAGGCTATTTCAAAGTAACTGTGGGGTGGATAAATTACAGTAGCAAATATATACTAGGACCCCACAAACTTAATTTCTGTAAGCATCATACTTTTCCTGTGATTAGAACATATGATGAATTGGAAAAGGCAAACCCCTAATCTAAGCTACTATCCCAGCATCTTTCTGAAAGGACTGAGGAAAACCACAAAAAACTTAGTCAATACAGCCAGTCTCCACACCAACATTTTAACCTGGGACTACTGAATATGAAGCAAGAGTGCTAACCACTCAGCCCTGACAGATGGCAAAAGAAAGAAATGATGGACTAATGTGGTCTTGTGTACAAAACAGGGAAAGGTGGAGTAGAATGTAATGATCAAGTTTTGGCTTGTATCTCTCTCATGTACAGATTTTTTAAGAATCAATTAAAAACATTTTCTACCCCATGGATTATAATGTTTTCATCACTAATGTCCCTTTTATCAAAATCTATTCATAACAAGAAAAAAAATCATGACTACTGGCTGGATGTGACAGAGCCAAACTATACAACATGGGGAAGGCAGCCTCATTTTTTTCAAGACATGATTATTCCTGCTAAAGAAAAGGAAAATAATTCTATGAGAGCCTGCAATATGTGCACAACTTTGGAATGCAAAATTTGCCTGGTTGCCTTGCAAATCCCAGGGTTCTTTCAGATGTACCACACCCTTCAAAAGCAATATTCAGGTGAGACTATGTAATCAAATGTTCCTTTCTAGGGCATTATTTTATACTCAGTGCAACCGCCCTTCCGCACACGACTAGTCTTCTTACTTTGGTCGCCACAGGATCAAACCCAGTTTGCGTGCAGTTACAGCTTGAGATATGAAAATGGGTATGCGGAAGGATATAAATGAATATTTGGTGCAGGTTTTGTTGGAGAGCAAGAGTTTCCGAATCTCAGGGAATATACAGGGACTGTGATGGTTGGAGCGACATTTGTGAGAAGGAAGTGAAATCTCTGGGGTTGAGCAACTGAAGACCACACCGAAGTTATCTTGGAGATGTCTACCTTTATTGCATCTCGAGACACGCTGTTGTACAGCCAATTACTCTGATCGGAAGGCAGCGCAATGATTCGGCTGTTTGTCATTGTACTTGAAATTTAAAGGTACAAGCCGAACCTGTCTGCTCGACTCGAAGAACCAAAACTTTTGAGGGCCCGCACCAACGTAATCCCGCTATAAATACCCCCGCAAAGCAATTGTTCTTAAATTTTGAATTTAATACAGCGATCCGATTCGTTCCCCCAAAAGTCATCCCATGATGTCGGAAATGCACCGAAGAGCCACATTCAAATTTCATTGGTTCCAGTCGCAGTGAGACGATGGTTGTAGGGCAACCGTCATTCCACATCTGGAAGGGCTTAAGTTTTTGCCTCGTAAACAACTTTTACAAGTGCAAAAGCTTTTTTAAGTCACGTTCCCGCTAGATGGAATGTTGGGAGAAGAGACGTTCAAGCAACTGAGTGTCGCCACTCTCTTCCAATTTAATACATTTAACAATGCCAGAATTAATAAACTCACTCAAATTTAGATGAAGTAAGGCGTACCAAATCATCGTATCATCTAATCACACCTCCTTCGTTTATATAAACCAAGTTAATATGCCAAAGCCTGGTTTACCCCTCATCCCAAAGTTCAGCCCGTTTGGGAATCGAACCACGAACCTGGACTGGCACATCAGTTACATTTTACACCCATAACTAGTGCTGCAGTATGCTACCTGCTTCAAAATTGCAATTTAAACATGTACTCTAAGTAGCAAGCCATTCAAAGGACACTCCAGAGTATTCAACGCAATGGCATTTAAGTTTACACTGTAAACCTGAACCTGTATATTCAGTGTCTCATATGCAGGAGTCTATAAAAATACAACATATTAAAAATAAACTGAATACAAAAGGCACGACACATCTTTAAAAACCTCTGTATAACAGAGTTTAGTGTCCTACAGGTTCTGATATAGAGATTTATCTCACCATTACCCTTTCAGGTCCTTTAGTTACTGTGTTCTTTCCTTAATATTCAGCTAAAAGAGACTACAGTGTCAGAAAATAACAGTTTCATAACTAAACAATCAAATAAAAAAATAAATATATCCCCTTCTAGAGCCTAAATTTATAAACACTACAGACCACAGTAAGCAAAAGTCATATTTTTCTTTCATCAGATGAAATGCTAGGAGGAAACAAGATTGTTACATGAAAAATTAAACCACCATTCACAACAGCCCAAAGGCCAAACAGTTGGACAACCACGACAAAAAGAACATGTAAAACTATCTCATCATGTTTTTCTGACAACCTCTACACCATGTTCTGTTGAATTAACTACATCTCTTGCTTCGTGTATCACAAACTGAATCGGACCTTCATCCTCCAATACCATTTCAATGGGATCCCCATCCTCATTCACCATTATCTGTGAAAAACATCAATCTTAAGAGCAGAATAATAAATATCCTGCAAATGTTTCAATGTGAGTAAACTTTACAGTATCACTACCTACAGCCAAGATGAGGAGAATATCAGTCATTATGCATATAGTGGCATTAAAACATTTTTGAACGATGTGATGAGTGACACAAATGGCCAATGTACTGTATTTATTCAAATACCACATGCACACCCATTTTTATAAAATATAAAACATTATTTGAACAAGACTAATACGGCATGTTCCATTTAAAACACAACACTAACTACAACAGTACTTGTAATCTTAGGTAACATCAATATAATTAGACAAACTTTATTTTTATTTGTTAGGAATGACTTACAGAATAGCTTTACGGTGATACTGAAAATACCCACTTCCCCAAACACAAGCATCCACCCTTGTTGGTTTCTGAGTTAAAGTTGATAAACCTCTGAAGATTTCTGTCTTCTGGTTTGTTGCGCTGTGTAGTATGGTAGATGTTTACCAACGTTTCAGAGGTCCGACAACGACCAGACTACACAGCGCAAAAACCCAGAAGACAGAAATCTTCATACTCACCGCTGTGAAAACCTCAGATCTTACATTTATAAACCTCTGTTTAATGTTTCAGTTCCTCCAAGCTCCATGGGTTATGCGAATAAACTCTTTCTCTGAGAAATCCCCACAGAAAGAAGTCTGGCAGGGTAAGATCTGGAAATTGCAGTGGCCAAAGGCACCCATCAAAGAACTCTTGCATTAAAGCAGTTATGTTTGTAGCATAGGGCATCACCCCACCATATTCAAACCTGCAATCCCTTTCATTTCTTCCAACAGAAAAATGAAATGGGTCTTACCATTTCACGTCTCTTCAAAAAACAATGCATAACATTCCAGTCTTAAATGCTTCATGCTCCAAAAAAAAACAAATGATGTGAAGTTACATTTCAGGATAAACACACATTCCGCTTGCGAATACACCAAAATAATTTTTTTAAAAAAAGGTTTTGAAGGGAAAGCCCCTTACTTCACCTAACAGCCAATATAACTTGTGTGTGTATGATGTTGCCGAGTCTACAGCTACATCTTGTATATTCTCAAAAATAGTACTTTATGCTACCCAAATTTATTCCTGAATGGTTCTTCATGCAAAGACTAAAAAAAAAAAAAAAATACAAATATGAACAGAATTTGGATAAACATGGTACAACACACAAATGTAAACCAGGTAACTGTCTGCATGCTTATTCACTAATCTACCTATCCATTCACCCACATATATCATATGTCTCTGTCTGCCATTTGAGTTTATCATTGCATCAGTCCCAGACAATGGGAAGAGAAATATTTTTATTCTGTATTGGTGTGACCGCCCATGGAAGAAAATTCATAGCACTGAAAATCACAGAAACTGTACAATGAGTGTGGAACGGTTTGTTACGTTACCAGTATTACGAAATATGCTTCAATAATGGAAGATGTAATTTTCAAGAAACAACTTAAAACTACAGAATGTACCAAAACTTTACCGACAACTATTTGAAAGAATAAATCCTTACTTACTCTTGCAGTAGTGTAGAACCACTACAATAGTGGGACCACAAACCTTGCTTTAGAACCTATTCAGAAAATGTTAAACTCCTTTTTTCCCATCATTTAATGAGATCAAATGAAAGATTTATCTTCAATGTTTCTCTGTGGAAAATTCCCTAATTGCTAGTTCTTGACTGCCCACTTAATGGTACCTGCACCTTGTCGTGGTGGTGGGGCTTGAGTATCTCAGTGACCTCAAGAGCTATGCTGGCGGTAGCATAGCTACTGGTAGGGTCTCCCTAGCCAGATTGGTCAAGGGGGAGAGGTCAGACTAAGACAGGTAACCTGGTCCTCCAGGTTGGGGGTTGGTCGCAAGGCTAACAACCTTGCACCGTAAAAAGGAAGATGTTTCGAAACCTCAATCAAAGCCTCAGACTGACGGACCTAACAGAGGACCGAATGGAAGAGGAGAATTGAGGAAGCCATGGACTGAATACGGACCGGAGAGCCATAGAAGAAGAATAAGCTAGTTCTTGACTATTCTACATTTCAAACACTGAACATACCACTGTCACCTGGACACTATGGATATCAAAATGAACAATAACTTATAAAACAGCGTATTTCTTATGAAGGGATGAGACTATGTCTCTGTGAAACTGAGACAACTAACAACTGTCCATTCCCCCAAATGATACATGAATAAATATTGAACAGCAGTAGAATAAATAAATCCCACAGAGACAGGCACGAGCCTGACTCTAAAGTGAGAGAGCAGCAATTAACTGCATGGCACAGCTTACTGAATACGGCAAACTTAACAAACCTGTTCTGCATCTCCATACACTATGTGGTGTTCTCCACCAGTCCCAAAAAATGACAGATCCTCACCGCCATCTGTTATCACAATCTGCTTCTGATTCTCAGTCACCTGAAGAGAACATAAGCTGCTTCAAAATCAACATAAAATAAAGTACATGACATTAAATCAACACAAAAATTGACAGTGGAACCACAGTTCCGGAGAATCTGATGTAAATACGTTTTGTATTTAAATTATATTTAGGCAATAAATACAATGAAAGGAAGTTTATACATTAGCTTTATTCTAAATATTCCCTTTATACATGCTTTACAATTGAGTAAATAGTTTGATTAAGACATTGCTTATTTAACTTGAATTAGTTACGCTTAAGATGGGTCTGTGGTAGCTGAAATATGTTATAAAATTTGTGCACTAGAGTATCAACATTTCGTGCAAACACCATATCTATACAAGATTTTGATCTAGTAGTACTACATTGAGGATTTGACATCAACACTAAGCCAAATGTTTCCTCCACAAATGTGACAAAGCAAATCCACCCATTTGATGTCTTAACCTCCTAATTTGAATAAATGGAAGTCTAGGGGATATTAATCTTTCGCTTATGCAATCTAGAGGCAAATCAGTGGGGTATGGTGGACACACAAATCCATTACTCCTAGACAATATAGGTATTTGCTGCTTATTTAAAGATAGCCAGCATGTTGTGCATACCTTAAATTGGGATACATTTTCATTTACAAACTCCGTACCCAATATATCTAAATGGCTATAGACGTATTTACATCAAAAATATTTAATTGTGGCATTAATGGCAATAAAAATTCAGACTCATAAGAAAAGGAACCCCAAATGATGAACACACAGTGAGAGATCATCATTGAGTTACTTACATGATACCCTGGCATCAACTAAAGCACTTAGGTTGCTCTGGTTTACTTCGTCAGAGTCTTCCACCATCGCTTGTGTCTACAAGAACCAAATTTACAAAAATTATCTCTAACAAATATTCCAGTGTATATTTTATTTCACCATGACAGCCATATTATAATAAAAAGAAATAATGAAGAACAATTACAACGATCATGGTACTTAAGAACACAATCAATCAGGTTCACATTAATAACAAAGAAAATGAACATTCAACACATATTTATGGAAGATATAAAACATACAATATTTAAAACAAAATGATCACAACTCATTATGTCTGAATAATTGTGAATTAATATAATTCAGATGGCTAAAAGTTCAACATATTTTGGTTCCTTTATAGATCACAGCCCATGAGAGATTTTTTAATTATTCCAGTGTCAAAAACAAATCAACATCGTTTAAATGTTTCAAATATTTTAACTACAAGCATCTTACAGACAACACTCACATGAAAATGTTTGCTCTCACAAAACACCAATATTAAAAAAATTCAGAAAACTGGATTTAAAAACAACCATTTTAGTATTCTTTAACCTTTTCACACACCCCAACATTACCATGTCTAAAAATTAAAAGTGTTGAAAACATAGTCAATGGATACTTTCCACAGTAGTTTATTTTGAAAAGTAACAACTACAAATACAACGTACATTATAAATATTTCATATCTTGTGCTCATGTTTAATAAAATCAAGTTTGCTGTTTATTATTTACCATGTTTAAGAATATAGTTCCAGGCCAGTCAATTCAAGCTGCCATTAATTTCACTTAACGTTCAAACACAAAATGAAACAAAAAAAAAAAAACAGTGACTCCATCATGCAGTCAAGAAAAATAAATGCAGACTATTTAAAAAAATATATTCTAGCTATATATATGCTAAGCATGCAGCTTTAACATCAGAGCATTAAATTTTTAGTCATGTCTATGCAATCCACTGTAGTACTGAACCACCAAAAATTTTCTGCTGAAGAAGTAGAGGTTGGTTATAGGTTAGTTGAGGGTGAGGCACAATGACTGCAGAAGGTGCAGTCTGCACTTGAAGAGGCTAAGACATCAGGAATAACAGTAAGGGTGTCACACGTATCCAGTAGCTGTAATGTTGGCAAGTTCCAGTGATTAAATTACTTTAACATACAAGGAAGGTAGAATCAGTTAATCCAAACACAATAAAATGTAACAAAGTTAAACAACTTTCAAAGAAGGGTGAAATCTATACAGTACCTAGTTCTGAAAGCACGTCAGTAAGCTCAGAAGCAAATGAAGGGAAGAGCACACAAGACATGTCGATAAGAGAAATATACAAACATGTGTGTGCGCACATACACAACCACCACAAACACTGCCTGATCAAAAGTATCCAGACACCTACACGAAACTGTCCTCTAAGTGTCCCTTGGATTTACTGCCCAGTAGTGGACATTAATACTGGGTGGGCCCAACCTTGGAATTTATTACAGCTCTAACTCTGCGGGGGAGACTGTCTACCAGGTGTTGGAACGTCGCCGGGGGAATGGCCAACCATTCTTCCTGCAACGCTGTAGCAAGCGTAGTTAGTGATGTGGGTCGTTGGGGTCTGGCGCGCAGTCGCCTTTCTAGTTCATCCCAGAGGTCTTCAATAGGATTGAGATCGGGACTCTGGGCTGGCCAGTCCAATTGTCCACAAATCACAAACAGACCCTGCTTTATGGCAGTGAGCATTGTCATGCTGAAACACACAGTTATCATCTCCGAACTGGTCTTCTACCGTAGACAACACGCAGCTGGTCAAAATGTCCTTATATCCTTCCGCCTTTAACGTGCTCCGTAGTATTATGAGAGGACCAAGTCCCTTCCATGAAAAACACCCCCACACTGTCACCCCACCTCCGCCGAATTTCACTGTGGGCACTATACAGGCCGGCATGTAGCGTTCATCTAGCATTCGCCACACCCAAACCCTCCCATCGGACTGCCACATGGTATAGCGTGATTCATCACTCCAAATCACGCATCTCCAGTCATCCACAGCCCAGTGGCGGCGCTCTTTACACCACTGAAAGCGGCTTGTTTACTGATGTGGGTAGCAGTAGCGGTGGTCGTAGTGATATCTAGGCTCGAGTTTACGTTTACAGAGGGGTGTCCGGATACGTTTGATCAGACAGTGTATATACAAATTTGAGGAAAATTAAACCTTACACTTACAGAATTTTTGATAAGAACAACAAAAGCACATGTCAATTTGTAAAAAATGTGCATACTGTATATTTCTAGGAGAAGGGTGGGGACATTAAGATTCCATGGTAACATATAAATCAGATGTGATGAGAGTATCAGGTAAATACATTTTACAGAATCAAATTAAGTACAATAAAAAGACTCATACAATTAAATTCAGGGGATCAGATTCTGGTAATGTATTGCATTGTACCTTACTGGTACTCAGTATTAATTTTCATAAGTGAAGATCTTTGCAACAGAAAAGTTCATAAGGAAAAGGTTTAGTATAAGCAACTAAAAATTTTAATCCACACAGATTGCCACTAAACTTAAACTAAACAAAGCGCATGCAAATACCAATGCACCAAAACTTAAATGTACATACCTGCATTTCATTATTATCACTGACAATTTCAATGGTCTGCCCAGGTTGCTGCATCATCTGTGCTGCTTCTTCTTGACTCAGAATCTCATAGTTACCATCTGATGACGGGCGGACAAATTGGATTTCACCGGTTGATGCCAATTCAAGCAGAGCTGGAGCTGCATAACAAAATACCAACATAAATATTCCATACATCTTCTCAATACAATTACATAAGTACAACAAACTGATAAAACAAAAATTACTGATACAAATTTTTTAAAACTAAATCTAACTTTAAAACTGAATAATATACATGAAGAAACATGAGTGCAAAAAAAAGGATACTAATGGCATAAACATACAAAAAGCTTACCTCTTTTTAAATCTAACGTGAAATTCAAGTTGTTTTCAACATTTTATATACCAAAATATCTAAACTGCCTATCTAAAATCATTAAACTGTAAGAACACATGCCATGGTAATTTTCCAGTGCATCTATATGCTGGAAGTACATAAGGAGAATGTGAGTACAGTAGCTCAATCAGTATCTTGACTGGCTATGGGCTGGGTAATCAGGGTTTGATCCCTGACAGAGGCAGAGGATCTTTTCCTCCAGCCTCTGCGTCCAGGCCGGCTCTGGGGATCACCAGACCTCCTGTCCAGTGGGTACTGGGGCCCTTTCCAGGGAGTAAAGCCTAGCCGGGGCATGCTAGCATGTAATGGGATGACTTTTTACATAAGTAGAATCTATTTTATCACCAATTATCTTGATTTACATGATTTTCCTCAAGGAAAAAAGAAATAATTACATACTTCCCCATTCCTATTCTTCTACTTCGCACTACAGATCTTTCGGTATAGCCTTGGCTTCTCTTGCGATCGATGCCCAGTCTTTCCTATTCTGTGCTTTCCTTCTCCAGCCTCTTACACCCATCTGTTTAAGATCAGACTCCACAGCTACAATATCTGAGCTTTTGAACAGCTTCTCCAGCTCAATATTCATTCTAATTCTCCATAGGCCATTGTCACATATTGGACCAAAAATCTGTCATAAAAATTTCCTTTCCCAGGACATACGCATTCTTTCAGCTAGAGACGTTAAGGTCCAGATCCGTACAATACTATAGGTCGTATTATGGTAGCGTACAACCGCACTTTAAGGTTTTTGTGGATATACCTATTCCTGAGAACTTGGCCTAGAGCGTGGTAGAATTTGTTACCCGCAGTGATTCTTGCTTTTATTTCTGTGAGGATGTCATTACAGCTTGTGATCAAGGAGCCTAGATATTTGAAAGACTCCACCCTTTCAAATTCACTCCCAGCAATCTCTACTACCCCAGGCTCATTGGCTCCGCTCGTCTTGTTCAGCATGTACTTGCTTTTGGTGTTGTTGATCTCAAGGCCTACTTTCTTAGCTGCACTAATTATCTCTTCCATTGGTTCTGTGAGTTACTTCATGCTTCTTCCCAGCGCCCCAAAATTATCTGCGTATGCGAGTATCTGATAGGTTCTATTAAAGATGTGTCCTCCAGGGTTTGTTTTGATTGTTCTAATGACCTTTTCTAGGCAAATGTTAAATAGCTGTGTAGACGGAGAGTCGCCCTGTCATAAGACTGCCACTATTTCAAAGCTGTCAGAGACCCTACCTTGTATTTTCACCTTATTGGAAGTATTTGTCAGGTCCATTCCTACGCACTACATATAAAAAACACAACCTCATTCCCTTTGTTTTTTTCATGCACTAGTGCAGAAAGGTATTAAAATCAGCATGAAATATACTTCAGACAACCATTTAACCTATGGATCATGAGTCATAAAAGCCCCACAATGGTTAGCAGGTTATTTTCTTGATAATTGAGGACATCCTGCCATGTGGTGTCACTAGTATGAATTTTCTGAAAATGTCACAACGTCTCTCAAAAGGTGGCTAAAAACAGTTATCACCACAAAACAACAATGAAATACTGGATGGCACTACGTAGACTCAAAGACAGATTTTAAATACAACCAGATAAACAAAAATTCCTTACGTAAGAACAAACACAAAAAGTTAGCCTGCAGCACATTTTGAACCCCACTCCCTCTTTCAAGTTGAAAGTTATAAAGAAACACAACACAAATCCACAACAAGAAACAAATGTGACTTTAATTAACAGGGCAATAGACTGAACATTTTACCTGGGTCACTGTCCACCGCACTTGCAGACCTTGTAGGTCCACTTGGTCCATCTCTGTGTACCATATTAACAGCAGATGCCAACAAGTTAACAGGACTCAGTTCCTGAAGTTCATCTTCAGGAATTATACTTCCATCCTCACGCACATATTGCACCTTAGGACTAGGTCCTTCGAGATCCAGAAGCGGATTAGAAGTCACATCATCTATAAGCAAACATATATTGACTACAGACAGAAAATCAAAGAATGGAACAATAAAAACTATATGACTCCCAACTCTTGGCAAACACAAACATTTTGTACTTTGGGGAGAAACAAACATATCAATAAATCATTATCAATGTATTATTAGCAGATGCAGAAACAGGTTTACGGTGTTTTCTACTAGCACAAAGGATAAATTGGTAGAATCGCTATTGTAACCGCCCAAATAAAGACAAAATTTGCAATGCTACAGCCTGTGTAACAATGTAAAAATAGAAGTTAAAGAAACCCTGTTAGAATGAAATTTCTGTCAAACTGGCACATATATCAACATGTTTGCATATGGAAATAGGACAAACAAGGTTTGATGAAACTTGCATACCAAGTCATTCAGTTTCAGTGCAGGTGGCAATTTACTTCACCTGTGTCCCAGCAGCACAGAACTGGGCAAAAATAACAACACACTGAAATGCACAAGGTATGAAAAATACTGAACAACAAATAAAATAAAATGAAAGTGTTCTTCTTGTAACACGAATGTACCAGTATTTCTGCAATTAGTATAAAAAGTCTACACTCACCAAGGCTGTGCTGATTTGCAGTACTTGCAAGGTCGGACTCATGTTCTGGTCCAGGTGGTTCCACTTGGATTGTTAACTGGCCATCTGATCCAATCTTCTGGATCACAGTTGCCACAACAGGCACCTGAACATGAATTTACACAAATTTTTACTCGCCTCATGTAACATCAAGCCAGTTCTCAAAAATGTCATATTTCATACTTCTCAAACTTCCAATTGGTTTGCACTTCCTTACACCCTCTAACAATTTTAAACACAAAAAATATAGATTCCTGAAAATATTTTGTTATTTATTAGTAACATTATGGTGGTTGAGATGGTTTACACATGCAGACATACAAATTTATATGTAATTTTGGTTGAAAAACATAGTGCCAACATTATATTATTTTTGCAACCACCAACAAAGCGAATTTGTCAGCTAAGATTAATTTATTCTGATTTAATGCCAACACATTTTGACATCAGAGTGTAATCTCAGGGCAAACCTTTTATGTTCCTACCATGGAACCCAACTGTTTACATATTAAAAACCACACCAATTGGAATCACTGCAGAACCAATAATATAAATATGTGTTGATGGTTCACAGATTATGAATAAGACACTGACTGCAGATCTCATTTCAGTACTGTAATTTGTGCAATTGAACATATCAATATTGTTAAAATATTAAATTTTAATGTAGTAATGCAAGACAGTCAGAATTTAAATTCTACACAGTCTAATTTCTGGTTCTGCATTTAACCCTTTGCCATACCTAATGCATTATTATGCAGTAAAATATTAAATGCTCCCCCACCACCATCTACCCACCCACACACACACTCAATACACTAAAATGTATGCATAAAATAAATTCAAATGTAAAAACAGAAGCAAATCACAGAAAAAAGAAAGGCTGGATTATGTCAGAAGAAGGGAAATGGCTCTTCAAAGAGATAAAAGACAATAAGTTTGTCATCAACATCATCATCATCTATGGCGCTTCAGCCCGTTTTTGGGCCATAACCTCCCCACTTAGGAGGTTTCTTGGTCTTTTGAAGCGTACATTTGTGAGTAGTGAGTGACCAGCCCACTGACTGCACAATTTCTACTCAATCCTGATTTGACTGCCAGAGCCATCTAGCAGCAAATCAGGAGACTTGGGTGAGAAATGGACACTGAATTTTGCTTACGAAACATCTTGTAACATGCTCGTAAGATTCTTTTACATGCCGTGAATCTACGACATGGGACTGCCGGCTTTACTTTTCCTCTGAAGGAAGTTGTGCTACAGATTTCTATCACCCTGAAAAATCCATAGACCTTGGCTGGGATTGAACCTGTGAACCTTGGGTCCAGTGGCGAGCATGCTAACCACTAGTCCACTGAGGGCGACCAATAAGCTTGTCACCCAGACAAATATTAAAAGGGGATTCCATTGTACATACATAACAGTTAATAACACAACAAAGTACATCACTTCCATCAACAAAACATCTCAGAAAAAACAAGAGTAAATAAAAATAACAATGACTGGGAACTTTTCTGCAAGAGTAGAAGGCATGGTCATTACCTTGATTTGAACAGCTTTAATTGAGTTTCCATTATTGGTATTACTGAAGTTTGGAGAGACGGTGATTTTGCCAGCCGACTTCAAGTCTTCTGCTGTTGCTGGAACCAGCATCTGACCAAGACAGAAAAATTGTATGTTATTGTGGAACTAAAAAGGAATACCAGTAACAGGTAAACTTTTCTGAACATAAGTAACACTGTAAATACCAATGAGAAAAGAAAAGGTTATTGAAATAAATTACGGCATCTATATGCTCCTTCAAATATGAAGGTGAGGTAATAATGAGGCGATGAGATCAACAGCAAAATCACCACCATATGTGAATGGCACAACTGTCAGTGGTCCTCTTACAGCTAGCAGAAGGCAGCTTGCTTCTTCACACTTATTTAGTTAGTCCTCAGGAAAACTAAAAGATTCTAGTTTTTATTTAGTATTTACTACTTTTACCCTTTTAAAAGCCTAAAAGGATTGCAGAAATATGAAGAGGAAGCAATCACCACTTAGTATAAACAGATAGTCAAGTCTTTGATAAAGATCCAAAATCTGAAAAGACTTAGTTCTCAGGCTTTCTGGATAAGAGGCCCAGTACTGTATTTCTGTGCATACTTTCCATTAGCAGAGATTCAGACTGTTAAATCTGCCAGATATTAACATCAAAGTATTACATGATTACTATATAATTATCAATATACAAACAACATTTATAGATATGTTTATGCTCTACCATTACACAAAGCTTTATATGCTGAGCTTCAAGCTTCATTAGTTACAGCCATAATACAGTGAGCTTAGCACAAATTTTTTGCAGCTATCATTTTATTTTTTACACTCTACAAAAAACTGGACCTCAACAAAATTTATTCACATTTGATCTGCTATCATGCTAAAAGTCAAGAACCTACATTATGTAGTACTAATGTTGCTCCCACCTCTGTAGTTTGCATGGTGACCATGTCAGTATTACCGATACTAGAAAATTAAACATTATGCAGGTACAGGAGGCCTGAAGCAGTATGATGTTAATATAAAGATATCAATGTATGATATGAGGTTTTCACAATGGTGAGTATGAAGATTTCTGTCTTCTGGGTTGTTGCGCTTGGCAGGCTACTCCATTCACGGTCCAGTTCCTATAAACCTAGCCCCACCCACCCAATTGGCACATTCATCGCCCTGATGACGGAGGCAGTATGACCTCTGAAACGTTGGTAAACATCTACCATACTACATGGCGCAACAATCCAGAAGACAGAAATCTTCTTAAAGATATCAAGTTTCATAAAAATCAAACAAGTGGTTCAGAGGTATTAGACAGGAGACTACCATATGCTGTCTTTCCTTATAAATTCAGAAAAAAGGGCTTGAAATACAGTGAAACCTCAATGCATCGTTTTCGGCGGGGGTGGGAAATAAAAACGATGAATGCGGGAAAACGATAGATGCGGGAAAGCATTAAAAATTTAAAAAAAAACAATGTTTCTCTTTCAAAGTTACTTCTTTTTACCAAAAAAGTCTTTAATGGACAACTGGTTTGTCGAAACTTTACGTTTTAGACCAAACAGAGCACTTTCCACGTTCAAAATGTTTTCCTCGTCACGTTCACTAATACTATGCGCATAAAAGAACGACTTCACTTTCGCCAATGCAGCGTGTGCTTCGGCAAAGCTTCGTCGTCTTCCTCTTCCTCACCACTCCAACCCTCTTCGCGAACAATAACAGGAAGAATGGAAATACTATTACTGCCGAACTCAACGAAAGGTAGCTGTAGAAGACCCTGAACCACTGGAAACGAGATGAACCAGAAGAATAAAAAGTGTCGCCCGCCTTTCCTTTGTACTTATAATAAAAGCATTTGTGAAGAAATTCACACTGCACATGCCATCTGGCATCGCTGGAACGAAATATGAGTGCACCCTAATTAAAATCGTAAAATTTCTGACAATAAGCACCGCCATTCACTCCAACTATCACCCCTGCACCGCTGACCATCATTCCAAAAGAATGTGCTGGTTGGGCGATATAACAGGTTACCGCTACTGCGTATTCCAAAAACATTGTGCGTCTTTCGGTATTAATTTATCTCTAAACCCAGCATTTTAAATTCTCAGAAACGATCATTGCGGGAAAATTGTGGGCCGGGACTAAGATTTTTGAACGATCGATGCGATAAAACGATAGTTCAAGGAACGATAGAAGCGGGAAAATGTAACATTATTTTATATGGGATGTATTCGGGACCGGACAAAACGGACGATGCATCCGGGAAAACGATAGTTCCGGGAACGATGGATAGAGGTTTCACTGTATATTCATTTTGAACACAGCCTTAGATGTCTTTGATAATTTTAATATTCTGCTATGATCATCCAAAATAATATACTAATTATTATTTTCATTATTCTGCTGTTGTTCAATGGCACAAAATAATCATAAGAAATGAATGGGTAAGGTTTCTTAAGGTGTCCATAGCCTCTTTCAAGGTACTACCCCTTCACATGGAAGACTGAGGAAAACCACTAGGAACACTAGACAAGGCAGCCAGCAACCCCCTAAAGGCAGACCCAATACATTTATACACTCACCACTGACATTTTCTAAAGCAGGAAGACAACAGAGGACAAAGTGTCATTCTCTCACAAAAACTTACAATATTTTTTGCAGAAAATACCTGTTTATTGTCAGGAGCTGCCATGACTTTCACTAATACTGGTATTCCCTTTGCAGGTTTCAGCAATGCAAATGGTGTCTGACCAGCTTGTTTGGCTGTCTGCATAGCTTTTGTGTTGATTGGGTCAATGATTACACCTGCAGAAGAACCCTGAAACAAAAGCATACATAACAGACAAATAAAATATATAGAAGATTAAATAATGTGTACTTTCATTAAAATTGTATCTAAATGACAAGACATGAATTTTAGATTATTATCAATTCTAGAATTAGATTTCCCTTAGCTCGATTCACTTGCTTTAGTAGCCAGTTATTTGCTGTAAAACTTGATATTTCAGCTTTATTATGCCTTTTGCCAACTCAAATGTTAAATTTATTGTAAAATAATATATAACAACCATTGTTTGCCAATAAATCTCCTTTTTTCATTTCCTGTCACAGTATCCAATGTACCACTTTTCCACCACTTTCACAGTCTGTAAAAACCTGAAAATATTTCTGAAGGCAGAAGAAATCACAAATCTGTACTCAAGCTATAAGATCTTTCTAAACATAAAATAAAATATTAACAACAATCTATAACATATTTTTAATTGCATGCAATAAAAAATCTTACTTTCAATATTACGATCGCTTATGCAAGCTCAACGCAATGACCCATATGCTAAATTCAATTTTATTATTAAATTATATCCTCACATCTTCTTAACATAAAATAGTCCTACTGACAGACATTAAACCATTTCTTTCAAATTTAGAGAGCTAAAAAGCTAAATTTTCACACATACTTATGAGAGTGACTGAGTGTGTGCATGCACATATGCTCTTTTCATATTATCCTTTGATACATGTGATAGCCCAACTGCTCATCCAGCAGTCTAATTAGTAAGTTACAACAAATTAATGTAATGTGAATACAGTTAACAGAGCTTATAAAAGCATTTATTACCTTTTCCTGGTAGAAACCTCCTTGACTAGCTAATATTTTGGAGAGTTTTAGCCTTTGCAGAGGAGAAAGAGGGAGATGAGCATTCTTCAGTTCATGTACATTTGCTAAGGTTCGGTCACCATTGGGCAAATGTATGATACGCAGATTCTTCCTTTGAAAATAAATGTAAAACTAAACACAAAATACACACAAGAATCTCAAATACACATACATTTGATATTTAAAACATAAAATTCTTCACAACAAACATTTGCACATATAATAAATAACATCCTTAAAATGCATTAACATTTTAAAAATTACAAGTACTACATATACATCATGAGTACCTAAAAAAATTACCTTTTCTTGCATTTTGGTACATACTAAACATACTGAAATGTGTCAAAATCTGTAGACCTCAATGATATTTAAGTGTGTGTGCTATGCGTGTAAGTGGTATTTTGTCAAAACATAATAACTCCAAAATGACAACTGGACATCTTTAAAGTTGTAGAGTTTGCTTCATTTCTGCAATTATCAGGAACAGACAATTCTCCTTGTAGCAATTCTATGTGATATATTTCCTAGAGACTGGCCAAACAAAAAGCACCCAAGATTCAGTCAATACTCATATTTATGTCTAAATGACCAAATCTGGAGTTATTATGCACTGGCCAAACAACAAAGACTTATATATTTCATGTTACATGAATTTTCATCCATGGAGAGCCATTTTGAAAAAAAAATGATGTATTCAATTTGAGCTTCACATAAACTAGGGAGAATAACAGACTGATAAAGACTAAAATTAAACTTGTCTAAAAAAATTTGGTCTACACACAAATATCAACACTCAGCATTCCTTGTTCAAAACACACAAAAAGTGCTCATAAAACAGCAAAACATTTTGGGGCCCTGAACTTCACTGCATATACCATTCAAGTAATCCTTAGCATTTGCATTTACTTTAGTAAACCACTTTTACATTAGTGTCATATTTCACAGTACATTAAAATGTCTGCAAGTGGTAGATGCGTAGTAATGATAAACTTCTAAATTCACGGTAGACTGATTTACCAGTCCCAAAAGTGACTAACTTTGCAGCAGTACAGAAGAACTCCAAAGACACTGAAATCCCAGTAAATTTTTTACAGACTTTTGTACAGATATAAATAAGTCTATTTTTTTTAAATGTGCTGAATATGGATGCAAAATAAATACTGGGCATTTTTTAAACTTTAAAAGTAAGGGTCATCACCATTAGAATCTCATGTACTGAGACCTAATATGTTCATATGTCCTGATAAACCACTTGGAAGAACCTCATCTTCAACCTCACTCAACTATCACAACTACATCCTTCACCCAAAATTCCATCACAGAGGATGGAATAACACACTATCAGATTATTTCATTGTCTAATTTGTTCCAATACCATTTTCAGCAGTTCTCTCAGTAATAAAAAAGGGGAAAGAAAAATACAACAGAACTACTCATATTATTAAACTGGTGGACCAGTTTTAATGATTCAAATGCTTGTATTTTAAAACACTGGTTTATGGTAAAAGAAAAGTTTTTCAGTGGTTCACATAAGACAAAAAATATACGAGTGCATGTCACTTTGACTATTCCTACTTACTCCTCTCTTTTTCTTTGCTTTCGAGATACGATCTCCCTAAACGTGTCAGGATCCAGTTCTTGTCTTCTTTCTCCTCCACGATACTTTATTCCATGTTTGTACTCTTCATGAGAACGCAATGCAAACCTCCGTGGAAACTCTTTGTGACAAAAGTTGCAGATATAGCGTGTCTTATCTCCATGTGAGTGAGCCTGTAAACAACAACACAAACCAAATGCAAATATCATTTTATCTAATAAAGCTGCCTGATTAATATTTATGTCTTACCTCCGAATTTTATAAAGCAGCTGAGAGAGGTTCAAATTCTAGCAAGAATACAGGTCTGCATAGATTCTAATAGAAGGCATTTATTCCCTTCTACTGACTTATTAACAGATTATAGTATATGAAGATACTGTTGTGATTCCATCAATTTCTCTGTACAACTTTGCCCCAATGTGCAATTTCTTTACTTCTCAGCTATCAAATTTAAATATCTCAACAGTAAATAAAAAACTGCTTTCAAGAAAAACTTTTCTACTCCTGCAAATATTTAATGAAAATGTGTCAGCAACAGAATTAAAGATGATAGCAAGAGATTTAAAACTACATTATATAACTTAAGTGCAGGCACGAATTTTGCCTCTGCTTGGGATACCGTCTAGAAGTGAATACTCTGTTGTGCATAACTAATGTAGTTATATTAATTGAGAGGGATCAAGTCTTTCACTGAGATCAGATCAAAAATGCATATCCTACATAAGTATGTTAAACTGTACATCACAGAGAAATGTAAATATTGAGAGCAAGTAAGGTAAGTGGCATAGATGGATAAACGTTGAGCTTCACATCCCTAACACAAGGACCTGATCAATTGCTACCCTTTGATTTTGCTCTGGTTCTGCAGTATGGCAGTGGACCCTCCTCTGACTTCCTGGTCAAAATATTAGGTGTAAACACTCCACCACTTTTTTAAGAATACAGTTTTATTTTCCATACCTTCACTGTTACTTCATACTCTCAAAAAGGGCAGCATTTTCACACCATTAGCGACAGCACAGTCAGTAGTTTGCTTGCATACTTTGCAGCCAACCCATGTTCCATTCCCAAGTAGAATTTCTTTTTTAACTACCATGTATATCATGGCTGAGGAGGCCATCAAATTTAATTCATTTTTTAAGACTTTGCATTTATCTCTTTTCTTCAATTTTGAAAATAAAAGGAGTGCAGTTGGTTCCTCAATGTCTTATGACCAAAATTAAATTATTTTACATTCCACCTTATCAGAATGTCTGACGACCAACAGCTTTCATATTTTTGAGCAAAGATTTGTTTTATTCTTCAAAGGCAACAGACCAACCAACAGGCAACCAATTGTATCTTCATTGTTTCCTGTGCTAGGGGTTGCCATAACAAAGTGGAATTTTCCAAACAATCACACACACACAAAATTTGTGGGGGCCTCTGCCACCACGGAAGAATAAAACAAACTTTTGTGCCAAAATAATAAAATTATTGGTCAGATAGTCAATAAGACATTCCAAAAAGGTATTACATCATAATAATGTAATTTCAGCTATAACACAATGAGAAACCAACTGTGTTCCTGTCGTTTTTAAATGTGGATAAAGGACGAACAAAAAATCACTAAAGTAAAAACAAAGATAAAAATTAATTATATCTTACAGCCTACATAACAATAAAAAAATGAAACATGGTTGACTGCACCATAAGCAGGTAAGCTACCCAGAGTCAAACTGGATATTAACAATCAACCAGGTCCCCTTGTAAAAGTGATAAGTAGCAGGGACGGCTTGTAGTATTAAGAGGTAAATGCACGCTCTTTCATTCTACATGAACACACATAAAATATGATATGTTTATGTTATAACAAAAAGGACAGCCGCATACCTTTACCTTATGGCACATAAGGTTTGACATTTGGTTGAAGCCTTTCCCACAAAGTTCACATTTGTAAGGTCGTTCATTAGTGTGTGTGAAGACATGATTACGCAGGTTCCCTAAAAATTGACAAAAAATAATAAAAAAGACTTTACACATAAGAGGCAAAGCAGCTGAGTTAGAATAGCGATTGACTATGAGTTGGTTGCCTGGGGTTTGATTCCCAGCAGGGGCAGAAGATTTTTCTCTTAGCCTCTGCATCCAGACAGGCTCTGAGGCCTACTCAGATTCCTATCAAATGGGTATAATGGGCCCTACCACCTGGAAGAAAGCAGCCAGGGCATCCATCTAGTGCTGAGGTTAAGAAAGAGTGGTGCAATACCTCCACTACCCCATACATTTTCATGGCATGGTGCTTAATAAGTGCCTGGGACAACTTTAAAGATCTTACACATACAGTGAAGTTAAATATCTCATGTACTATCAATATTGAAAATGCTGACAACCAACAACCAATAAATTACATTAACACACAAAAACCTAAACATACTTTGCCTATCTTTCAATGTCATTATGTTTTTAGATATTGGTAACATGCACTTCCACTGTGCCACATTTCTGAGTTGTGTATCACAGGCACATAAAAAAATCTTTAACAGCTGAGTTCAATAAAAAGTCAATTAAAAATTGTCATCCAGTTTGCTTTTATAAGCATCAAAGATAAAATGTTAATTTTGTCAATATTCTTGGATGACTGTGAATCTACAAGTGACTGAAAATAAATTGCCCAGAAAAATATTTGAATCTAAGTGGAAAGTAAAGATATTACATAATGCAGTAGCACAAGTGACCTAGAACTGCAAAAATATGAATTTAAGTGAGATTTCTGGTTCTCATGGCAACAAGTATAAAGACAGGATGTTGCACTATGCAGTCTGATAGAAACTGACAGATGTACATGTTTCCAAGGTGCTCATTGACTCAGGACACTCGCCCCAATGGAGGAGGCAAACAGCACCTCTGAACGTCAGTCAAATTCTAAGAGACTACATGGTGCAACAACCATCACATTAATGAAATCTGTATTGCAATGAGCTGCACATGTAGATTTGATAAAGGACACAAGAAAAACATAACACAATTTTGGGAATGTATGAATGGAGGCAGGGTGCAACAGTGGGAGGCAGATGGAATTAACTCAGAGTTGTTTCCAATAAATCCAAAAGCATACTTAGTAGTATGGTACCTGCATATGCTACTACCATATTGTTGTTGTTGTTCCTTGGCTCTACAACCCAGTTGTGGGTCTTCGCCACCTCCTTTTCAGAGGTTTCCTAGTCTTTGAAGCGTGCATTTGTGAGTAATGAGTGACCAGCCCACTGACTCTACATAATTTCAACTCAATCCTGATTTGACTGCCAGAGCCATCTAGTAGTAAATCAGGAGAAACTGTCGACGAATTTTGCTTATAAAACGTCTCGTTCACGTTCGTAAGGTTCTTTTACATGCCATAAATCTACAACAGCTACTACTATATTAGTTTTTTAAAAATAAGAATGTGGTTACCTTTCTGATGGAATCCCTTGCCACACATCTGACACATGTGTGGTTTATGCTCTGAATGAGTTTTTCTGTGTGAGATAAGTGTTGAAACACGGTTGAATGTTTTCTTGCATAATTCACAAACATACGGCCTTGCATCACTATGGATAGCGCGATGCTGTGATAGGGTACTCATCTGCAAGTAATAAATAAATAGTAAAATAGACTGAAGAAAAGTGGCCTTATTATTCTACTTTATACTACAATTAAAGGGTAACTTTTATATCCAGTAACAGCTAAACTGACAATCAACATTTTCATTACTTTATTAAAGTACGGCATCTCATTTTACATGCCTGTAAACTGAAAATGCATTAGACTATTCACTTATACAAGATTTACTACAAATAAATAATATTTTTTACTAACCCAACAAGTTTCTGGGTACATAAAATCAATTCAAGCATGGGGGATATCATTTACACTCTCTAAAAAATGTTTTGTCTTAACAGAAGGAAGTCTAAATGTCTACTGCTTCCATTTTATGGCACTCACATATGAAATATTTTTAACTGCAAGCATAGAACATATACTGAAGACTAGGCTTGTATAAAAGTTCAGAGTACTGATTTAAATATGAGAATAAAAACTTCACTGATATTCTTCAAGCATAATAGGTTTCTTGACTTTCAAGCACACCCCTCCAACACTCGTACAAGGAGTCAGTGACAATTTTACACTGAAAGGCTACACTAAAATGCTGTATAATACCTCTTTATTTGAATTGTAAGTTTTAGGAAGTAACTTACCTGTCTAAAAGCTTTACCACAGGTTTCGCACTTGAAATTCCTTTCATCTGTGTGAGTTGGAAGATGACGCATTAGTGTGTATTGGTGACGAAACTCCTTTGAACCTTATCGTTAACACAAAGAAAATTAATTAATATTTATATATATTTTGGAGGATGAATGATGTAGTGTTTTAAACTTAATCACAGCCAAATGCTTCCTGTGTCCCAAACTTTTGTTACCAGTTGGTGTCCTGTTGTCCTCTTTCAGAACAAATGTCCCATATGAGAGAAGCAAAGTTTCAAAACTATTGATCAATAAAATTTTTACGTGAATTTTGAAAGTAGATATATATTAATACATTATTCAACACTTCAGAGTAACATGTCCTGACGTAATACATCAACAAAACAGTTCAGAATTTCAAAAACATCTTAACTCTGTGTAACATTAAATCTGGATTCCACTGTATTTCAAATGTGTCTATATCCATTTAGGAATAAAAAAATACCATAAAGAACATTTAAAACAACAAACTGTACTGAAATAAACAAAATACTTACATATGCCACATTCCCATATTTTAAGAGTTTTGCCATCTCTCTTCAGGTACTTTACATAATGAAGTCGGCTTCGTGGATCATTTTTATCAATTAATTTACGCGGGATATCATTTGTTTCGCCCATACTTGATATGTAATCTGATTCATTACTGATAACCTACACAACATACATAAGTCACATATTAAACAGGGTCAAACAAGCATTATATATATCTTCTTTATATCTTTATAATATAAAATTCGTGATTCGTCGTCGTCGCCAAACAATGACGTCATCAAACAATGTTACATCATTTGTTTACTCGGCATTGTTGTGTTGGTATACCAACACAACAATGCTGAGTAAATAAATAACGCTTCACAACGACGAGATCACCAACTACCAAGACAGTCGCATGATCACTGCTCCAGAAGCAGCAAACCGCATTCTTGAAAATGAAGATTTGACTGACATTTGGCTTCCAAACGGCGACGTAAAGAACTAAAACATTCAGACCTATTTAAGAAATGAAGAAAAGTGAAAGAAGACGTTATAAACTATTTGAAGTACCAACACCAACAAGGTAAACTGATACCAATAATAATACTCATTCAAGTCATACTATTCATTCGATATATTACAATTACGAAAACTATTATGAAAACTGACTTTATGATCGATTTTAAGACGAAGATTTGCAAGGGTGGGGCTGGACGTAGAAAGTCGACTGACCAAGAACAGTTGGCCTCTGAACAGCAACGTAAAGAATTAAACATCAGACCTATTTAACAAATAAGGAAAAGCGAAAGAAGACTTACATTGATATAGGACACACGTAGCAAAACTTATTCAACAAGAACAGAAGAGCAAAAGAAAAACACTGAAAAACGAAGTATTAAATATCAACAGAAACCGATAGATGAAAAACGCAAAATTATCGAGAAAGAACAACAAGGACTTTCGAGAAAGCGCTCTGAAAGGAGCGCGTTGCACTAGTATATAAAAATCATTAGATTTGGAAAAGTTCTAATTGTTATATGTCTTATGCTGGACTCATATGCAAATGGTCAAATGATAGAATTCTGGTCAACTTTAATTCTTGCGCTTGCAATTCTAAACATGTTACAGATTACTGTTGTTGGTGGTGGTGGTTGTGGTAGTAGAAGTAGCAGTGGTAGTGATATTTTATTCACAAGAAGGAGTGATTATTAAAGTCACAGTTAAAGTAAATAATTACAATCAATTTTGTAAAATTACCTGACTGAAAAATCACTTCTGTTTACAGCAAAAATAATACCCATTTTTCTGTTGCAGAGAAGGCAAGCCCACAATTTTTAAAAAAACATGGCAACAGCACTAAGCTCAACTAGCTTTTGCATCTATCTGGGGGTTACTAAATCTTAGTCTTCAAAAAAGCAGTCACAAAGTCAAAAAGGAAGAAAACTGCCATCTTACCTCATACAGAGGAAAATTATGTCCAGTGTGTCCGTAAAATAATGGTGGGGTAACAAACAGCCATAGCATGATAGAGACATGAAATAAACGTCAAAATAAAGAGAAACTCTCCAAGAATCTTACCTGTTCAGTAGATTTCGATATGCGCTCCTTTAGTTGCCCTGCAGACATCAAGACGATATTCAAGCTCTTGCCATACACGACCGAGAACATCCAGTGTGATAGTTGAAACAGCTTCAGCGATCCGTTCTTTCAAATGGTCCAAATTTGTTATTTGGACAGAGAACACTTGTTGCTTCACATAACCCCACAAATAAAAATCCATTGGGGTAAGATCTGGAAAGCGTGGAGGCCAGGCTACCCACCCTCCTCGTCCGACCCATCATTGAGGAAATGTTTGGTTTAGGTAATCCCGCACAAATGTGGAAAAATGTGGAGGAGCTCCATCTTACTGGAGAATGAAATTCTCCGGTATTTGGGGCACTGCATACCCTTCTAACATATCCAGGAAGTTCTTCCCCGTCACAGTTTGTTCAGCAAAACAGAAGGGGCCAATAACTCTCTCTTCCAATTGCGTACCACACATTAACTTTTGGACAATCATGTTGATGTTCCATAATGACATATGGAGGTTCATTACCCCATATTCTAACATTATGCCGATGGACTCGTCCCGAAACATGAAACATAGCTTCATCACTGAACATAAACTTGTCTAAAAATTCCCCATCATGATCTAACCCAGTGGTATTCAACCTGGGGTACGCGTACCCCTGGGGGTACACAAAGACATTTTAGGGGGGTACGTGAAATTTAAAAAAAATATATTATTTTATGATAAACACTGAATAATCAGTAATGTAATTTATTTAATTTATTTTAGATGTAGATTATATACTATGTATAACTTGAATTATACACTAACAACTTTGGGGGTTCAAAGTTGAAGAGAAATTACATCTGGGGGTACGCGAACAAAAAAGGTTGAATACCACTAATCTAACCTATCCAGAATGTCTGTAGCAAATTTGAATCGTTTAATTTTGTCCTGTGGATAAATTTTATGTAACACCTGAATTTTATAACCAGTAAAGCGTAGTCGTTTCTTTAAAACGTTGTGAACAGTTGTTTTTGAAACGCATAACTCTACAGAACACTTCCACACTGATTTCTTCGGGCTACGCAGATAACTTGCTCGCACAGCTTCAATGTTATCGTCAGACACTGATGGTCATCCTGGACGTGACTGCTTCAGTAGGCTGCCCGTTTCTCTGAGTTATTTGTCCCAACGGCGAATGTTATTTTCGTGTAGTGGTTCTTCATTAAACACACGACGGTATTCACGCCTAACAAGTGTAACTAACTCAAACTTAGCAAGCCACAAAACACATTGAACCTTCCTCTGCACCGTAATCATGGCGACTAACAAGCTTCACACGGCTACTGACCTTGTAACTCAGCGCGAATGCACTTGCACAAGAACCTGTTTGTGTATCGAAAAATTGGAGAGTTTCTCTTTATTTTGACGTTTATGTCATGTCTCTATCGTGCTTTGTGCCAAAACTATGACTGTTTGTTACCCCACCATTATTTTATGGACACACTGTATATTTCATAGGGACTGCAAATACGCTAATACATACCTTGTATTTAATCTGACTTCGTCTACCTCTAGGGGTATTGGCTGAAAACTTCACTTGAAGTGGAGGAAGACCTTCTCCTCTTATATTGCCAATGTCATCATTTGGTTCTTCTGTATCCAAATCCCCTTCTGCTTCCATATCACCATCACTTGCTCGCTAGGAAACAAATTACAAATGCTTAAAAAATGTTCACAAAAATTAACAACAGTCCACGGCCAATCACAGCACTGGCAAAAGAATGCATCACAAATATGGCATCAAATGAACTGACTTCAATATAAGATATGAATGTTCAATGTGATTCCAAATAAGGGGTTCAAAACTAGATGTCCCTGAATTGTGTAGAATAATAAAATACTACTTTCCAACATAATTAACTACATGTGAAAAAGATGTGTGAAAACTCTGATGAAGCAGCAGAATATCAGACACTTGGCCCTGAGTTAGAGACTTCATATCTGACCTGGCACTTAGCTGGACTTTAACTAAAGTTAGTTTTTTTTCTGGCTAACTGGATTTTCATGGGGTTAATATTGCTGGCTCTCACTGGACTACATGGATGAATGTAATTGTTAACCTTATTGGACAGATTATTTTACAAACTGTGAATATTTATTCTTGAAAAATAATGTTGTGTGCTATAACATGCGCTGAGACTAAAAAAGACTGGTTCAGTTTTGGACTCAGTCTATTTGTGTATGAAAAATTACTGATACAGACCTACTGGTATTTCACAACCTGCAATAATTAATCAAATGGATTATGGGTCACACATCAGTAAATAAGCATGATTAAATGTAGTCTTCAAGGACAATCAGCCATGTTAGGTAGCTGCAAAAAACTGACATTTTGACAGCTATCTCGGTCCTCACCATCAGGCATCTGGTATGTCTGTGGAGGTCAGGATGTCCCATATATATAACTGCCTGGAACAGTTATTGTCAGAATGGGGCTAGTAGGTAGAGACACAAGCCTACCTATGCTTGGCCTCTCTTTCCCATTCATGTGTCTCTAAACCATTTGAGTAGACGGATTGCTGGGTGCCATGTACAACTTTGAGTGAACATTTTGTCTCTGTTAAAGTTATTGGGATGTAGCCAGATTTTGATTGCTTCCCTCAAGAGAAAACCTATATACCTAGTAGCCATCCCTAGTATGGAGATACCACTGAAATCAATACAGTGTGCTGTATCAATCAGTACTCTGCCACTCTTGACTTCTCTGGTTACTTAAGGTATGTGAAGTAAGTATTACATAAGACAATCACTGGAATATACGAGCTAATTTCTACACCAACTTCATTGTCCTCACCTGAATGATCTCCTCAACAACAGATGTCCCCGCTTCATCTACAATAACTGGCAACATGTGACTTGATGTATCCACTGTTTCTAACACAATCTCTTCTCCTTCGATTATTGCATTTTCATCATGTCCATTCTTCACACAGACTTGAACACTGAAGAAAATACAAATTGTCCAAATCATAGAATGTACCATATATCCCAAAACCTTCAAACTCAAGTGTAATCATAACTTCTGTTAACAGTTCACACGTCCATTACCTAATCACCTCATCTTGTGTGCCAGATATACTGCCCTCCTGGCTGGCAGACTGGTTTAACATATCCAATTCCCGGATTTTATCCAATCTGAGGAAATCTGCTTCACTATCCAACTTCCTGGGTTTGTATCTCGCTTGAATATCATTCGAAACTTCACCACCACCGTCGTCATCTGTTATCACAACATTAGTTAGATAACCATAACCACAACCAATTGAAACGTTGTTTTTAATACATCTGACGTATTTAATATTAAATGACGAGCACAACTTCACACAAAGCAAAATAGTTTTTTATAAAATATAATACTGTACCATACTACCGTTTGTAATCTTGAAAGTATTCAGATATAACCTTTCATACATATCTATAATTATTATACACAAGTCCGGAATGCTACGGAAAACTTATTGTGAAAACTTGTCCACAAATAATTCATTACTATAACAGATCCAAATCCAGTGGATCCTGTCATATTACTAAAAGTTTTATTTCAGGTTAACAAAACCTCAACAGCCATACGCTCTGTTTACACATTTATTTACACTTGAAGTAAAGGGAATTGTGAAACAAAAGACTGACGCCATTTTGAATAAAATGATCGTCTTCTGCACCAGAAACACAAGACGAACGAGATTCGTTACTACTTTTTGTACCGACAGATCCCTTTAATTCCACAGTAAATGCCCAATGTAAAGGAAGAACTTACTGGGACGTAATTCTGCTTTGTCTTCTTTATCCATGTTGATTATGTATTATTAAATCTTCAGTAAGGAACCATTATCACATCTCTGCGCGGGAAGGAACGCTACATACATAGCTAATTTGTTGCGCAGAAAAATTGAACAACGCACTGCGCATGGGCGGCAACACGGGACATTCAAATTGGCGGACGAATACGTCCAAATCTGCATCATTGCCGAACTATGTTTTATTTTTGAAATATCTACTTACGAATAACAAAATTTGTCCTTACAATGACAATAAAGTAAAGTAAAGTTTGTCCCACTATACGCCATGTAGGCGTTTGGGGTGAGTGGAGGTATAGCTCCTCTCTTCCTTGACCTCGGCACTAGATGGGGGTGAGTGGTCAGCATCACGCGTGTCTAAATTACGATAATCACCAACACCCTACAAAAAATCATAAGTCATGAAGTTTTGCTTTGATTCTAATTGTTTAATTCCATTTCTTAGCATGTATGACAAATTTTATTCATACTTGCCTTCTTACAAATAATATTTATTCTCATAATTTGTAATCATAACGTACTTTTCACTATTTGTCATGAAAAAGTAGAGTACTGAATATCACGAGACTTAAAATCCTGCATTTGGCCATCTGGGTGCCCCACAAGAATCACATTTATTAAAGAAGACTGTTAACTCATTTACATTTGTGCATATTCCATTACAGTCAATGTCGTTGCTGGGATATTTTTCAGAATTGGCTAAGATGAAATGTTACTTTCAAAATACTTTTTCCGAATTACACGATTTTCCTATTAACTGTAACCGCTCAATACACAAAAACTAGGATCATCTATTGCAAACTCAGACTTAATCCAAAATAATGTAATTAATGTACACCAAGAATGCATTAATCCAAAAAGGTCATCTGTTTGGTGAAAATGCTGCCTCATAGTTTTTGATTAAACTGCAATACCACTTGTTACATATGTCAGATCAAATAATTGATCATTCCAAGTCCCTACTTTACACTCCCTCATAGCAGGGAAGATGGGGTGTTCTTTTCTATTTATAATCTCTCTGTAGGGTTGCTAACCTAGGGACATCTAGAGTACTACAACTATGCTAGGAATGTCTGGAGCAGTGTTGGGCAACATTTCTACACTCGTGGCACACTAAATATTGTCGAAGAGTCATGGCGGCACACCAACCCCATATTGTACATTGTGGGGGGGTGGGGGGTGGAAGCGGATGGTTAATGGCATTGATTGGCCACGACAAGTTCTTACAAATTGACCCCAACCGAAAAATGTTCTATTTGATGTCCATAATTATCCACCTTTATTATTATGTAATTTACTTTAAATATATTCCTTATCTGAAATAAATTAAAACATATTTATACACATCATTTAATCCAAAATTTATTAACTATGTATTCATTAAAACTTTAAGATTCTTATTCATATTTTTATATGTAATTACTTCACAGTATTCAAATTAGTTTCCCGGGACCCAAAGATCCCACTGCATATGGAACATGACCATCATTTACAAACAGTGGATAATATATACATTTCCTGCCCATTTACTCACAAGCCTCTGCAACATCCTCAATAATATAAAAGATTGTTTGACAGAATGGAATGGATAATTCTCGTCTGCTTAAGCCTAATAATAGGCTCCATACCGTACATATTCCTTCCATTAACGAAGATGGAGACAGAATCAGGCAGCAAAACTGATGATTCTTACTTTAAAGTTAATATAAATATTTTTATTCAGACAACAAATAATATCCAAAAGAATACTCCCATTAAGCCTGCAGCAATAAACAATCTTCATACATGGTAGCTTTACAACTATGCAATATTTATTTTCCCAGCAATTCAAAACTTATTACTGCTAGATACCATACAACAAAACAGCACCACAGTGACAGCAATTAAGGATACATTTCTCCCATTTTGATTCAATAAATGAGATAATAGCAGTCTTTCCACACTACTTATCAAGAATGTGTGAAATAATCATGATCTGGTGGTTGCAAATATGAAGCCTATAATTGTTAGACCCTACATACTTTTAACCTTTTATTTATTATTAGTAGTTATTTAGAATTGTATGATATGCCCTGTTACAACACAATCATGAGCAATTTTGTGACCTCTGTTATTCTTTAACAAGATTTACTTGAAATTTAAAACAATGAAATTTTATGCCACCTGAACTATATTCAGATCAGTACAGAATAATAACCAACTTGCTAGCATTCTATGTTATGGCAGCTGCCATTCAAGACATACATATCCTACACAACTGTTGCTTTTATCACAGGGTTTCTGCAATCCTAGTGAATACTTTTAGGCAGTGAAAAAATAAATCAGTACACAGTGTAGATGATTCGTAAAAGCATAAAGTCTACACTTCAGGGTACAGGAAACCGAGCAACACAAGAGAAATGAGTTTAACTAATTCATTAGCTAATATTGCTGTATTTAATTTTGCCATTTATAAATGCATACATAAAAGTAACTGATAGATTTCAAAATAAATGCCTCTAAAATTATTACAAAACTTCCATACAGACATACAGCAGAGGTTGTCCAGTACATAAACTATAAACTGGGACTACTGAACCCTACAAAAAGAAAGTCTGGAAGTGTTTGTTCAACTAATGTATAAATCAGCTAAACTGCTATAGTAGTAGTTCCTGTAATTTTTGAAATGATGTCACTATGTAATTGAAAGTAAATGTGTTGAATATAAAACAATCAGAATAATAAAATTAAACAAAAACTACCTTATATTAAGCAAAGAATTTATTGCATTATAAATAACCACACTATTTTCATTATGTAGGTACATGTGATCTTAGTATAATATAATACTAGCACTGACGTTTTCATACGCATATATTAAAAAACATTCTTGTGATGGTTATATTATGGCAGAACTGTTGGCATTTGAACCCTGAACCAAAATGACTGATTTAATCGGCAAACACAAAAATTTCATCACAATAAGAGAATTTTATATTATTTATATATTTACTGAAAATGTTTTCTAATTTTATACATAGTGTAAAAATGTTCATCATGACACAATTTCTTGTCGCCTCTGTAGACAGGAGAATATTGTTTTAAGTGCCTTATTAAAACTGTGACTAGCCATCATCATACACCGATCAATTTGAAGGTAATAGGTTATCTAATAGCAGAACCCCAGATTAATCACCATGTGAGGAAATATCTAACATTTAAACTTGTTATTCCAATTCACTGTTAATAAATGAGTCAAAAAGTACCAATGAAATAATCAAATTACACTCATTACTGCATTGTGCTTCTGTGATATAGTTACACTTCTAATTTTATGTCTGCACATTCCTTGTTTGCCTACTACATTTGTTCTGTTATTTTAGACGTGTCTGTTTCCTTTATCACATTCTACTTTTTAAAAAGCAATAACCAGACAAAAGTTCTGGATAAACTATCAGTCATTGTTTGGAATGTATATTCTAAGCCTATTTATTTTACATTATATTCAATTATGTCTCACTCTATCCGCGTGTTTCACTTAATCAGTCAGTGTTTCAGTTTGGAAGAAACAAACACTAAACAGTTTAGATATGACAGATTTTGCAAATTTAACATAATTTCATTCTAGCAACACAATTTCATATGTATGAACTTAACTAACTAGATGGCTTACCGAACCCGAAGGTTCATCACCGAATTAACCAAAGCCCTCCACCGGACCCTGTCCTGGGCCAACAAAATCCAGTCTCCTTCAACTCCTATCTCCCATAGATCCCACCTGACATTATCCTCCCATCTATGTCTAGGTCTCCCCAGCGGTCTCTTCCCTTCAGGCTTCCCAACCAATACCTGGTGAGTCAAATTCTAAGGTGTTCATAAGTATGCCACTCCTCTTGTGTAACATTTTATGCTACTATGAATTAACCCAGTCATCCTTGTTGGCTGCAACCAATAAAATTGGACATAAAACAATAACTTTCCCTTCAATTATATATATAAATAAATCCAGGTACATAAAATATCTCACTTTGTAAACTAGAAGAAAGTTTTTTATATACTTTTCTTAACTTCAGGCACATATACATGTACTGGTGCACAGATATTAAAACAAATGTTAAAGTTTTGTAAATCAAGTTTACAAGCCACAATGGTATGAAAACTACAAGAAATTAAATTGAAATCTCTACATCACAAAACGAAAGTAGTTATTTTTCTGTTTTAAAAATGAAAACTCTGCTGTTGATCTGAAGAATAAAAATATCAGATGAAAACATAAAAATCACTCATAACTGTAAAACTGGTATAAGTATGTGAGGAAAAGAAAAACCTCATCATACTGTGTCAAGAATAAAACCTGGCACATTCTGAATGTGGAACAGGAGTGCCAACCATTCAACCTGTTATTCAGTAAACATACGAAATACGATGCTCCTCATAGTTCTCAATACATTTTACAGAAACATAATAATTTGCAGATAAGAAAATTCAAGGTGAATTTTTTCCTATAAACAACAGATTTTGAGTAACATACTTAATGAGAGTAAACTACAAATATTTTCAGAAAATAGGGTCATCCTACTACATAGAACACAGTAACAGTAGTAGTAGTAAAACTATACTATAGCTTGACAAACAATAAACCACAAGCCATCAAATCAAACTTATTTTGTCAGTACTTCAATATATCAAATTCCCAGAAATGCCATACTGACTGGAGCCCATGACAGTCTAGTTAACACAATACAAGACACATGCATAATAACTGATGCTGATTTGTCAGTTACAGAAATCAAATTTAAAAGCCATACTCATAAGACTCCTATAAGATGTGTAAGATGTAATATTATTACAAAAATTGCTGCAACCGGTGTGGA